CGGAGCCAACGCTACCAAATTCGCTGGCAAGAAGACCACTTTTGATTAAGTAGGTCCTCCGAACCAGAAAAGGTAGGTTGCGCTATAGTATTGTAAAGATGTCCGATCAGGTCGACTTGCTTTACAGTGGGCTCTTATGGTTGTCTACCCGTTGTTCGGTGGTTACGCTTCCCGGTAACTTACCCCCAAAAGTTTGTGAGGAATTTGTGTTTTGCTTGATTTGAATTCAGAATGCTGTTTCCTGTATATCTACGCTTCTAAGATTATCAGACTTGCCAATTGAACGTGTTCTGTGATGCCAGCGGTGCTGTCTGTAGATCTGCTCCAGCCCCTCTTCAGCCCTAACCCTAGTTCATTACATTTCCTTATTGAGAACAGCGGGACGCGGCACATGACGCGGGTCTCGTGCTAGGCTCAGCTTGGACCACGCACCCGCCGGCTCTTATCTCCAAGTTGTTTATCGACCATTGCTCCTGGGTCCACTGATTGTGCCCGCTGCCTGTGGTTCCCCGCAAACAAGGCCTATTGCCACAGCCCCCAATGGAATGCGTCCCTCCCCAACCACTGCTCCTCCTCATCGGACACGCTGGACAATGTATCATCATCCTCTCATCACTCTCTGCCCCTAGCATCGTCTCTCTCATCTTCTTATCTCGACTGCCGACACGTCTGTTTAAATAAAGCAATCTTCAGACCCCGAGAGGTCACGGAGGAATCTCACGTGCCGGGCTTGCGCCGTTGCCATCTGACCCGTAGCTGCCGGTCAGGTGCGTGCCCTGCTGCCTGTCACGGGTCTCTTCCGCTGACGAATGACTTCCCCAACAGCCTCCCTGGCATTCTTGGTACACGTCCATCCCGCTGCTGATTTCTGAGAAGAGAGCAGTCGAACTGCGAGATCACAGAGGGATTTCGGCGTCACGACTGTATCGCCGTCGGTCCTCTGTGTCCCCGCCCTCGTTTCACGATAAGATAAAGAAAGGGACACGCATCATCGACACCGCCTCTTCTGCCACGCTGCCCCACCTGCCCCGTTGTCCAGTTCATCATCCACCTCCGATATCGTACCACTGCTCAGTCGGGGTCGTCTCTGAGTTCTTCTGAACTGTAGGCTCCTGGCAGCTGGCCTTGCTGGTTTTTAAGGCACACAAGACACCATGCAGCCGAATCATTATGATCTCCTCAGCCACGGCCCTGATGGAACGCCTGAGGCCAGACCATCCATCCAGATGACACGAGAGGGCTATCAGATGGCCAGGGACACCCGTACTGGGTCACGAAACCAGTCGGGTGCGATTCCCATGCGATCAGAAGGTAGGATATGCCCCATTTTGATTTCTAGCTCGGTTCTTCTCACAGCCTGTTTCCTTCCTGCATCCTAATGCATATCGACTTGACAATTACCCTATATCCTACTGTCCTAGCCCACCATCCTATCCGTTGATTTGCAATATGTACTCACTCCGCTACTATATAGACTCCTGGATCGAAGTGTCGTCCCAGCCGTCATCCTCTTCCCTATCTTCTGCAGCGACCAACGACGAGATCGTCACCACCGGCCTGCGTGTCGAACGCCAGGAGTCAGAATCCCAGCACTTCCGCAGCCGACGGAAACGACGTTTTGCCGCTAGCTCAACCCAAGTCAGTTACTCTTCGCGAGAGCCCAGCATTGCTAGCAGCAGTCAGGACGAGTATGAGGAGAGTGAGAGCGAGTCGGATAGAGTTCTCAGCAGCTCGAACGAGGATATCATCACCCGTTCCCGCGGAGATGCGCTGCTTCTACGGACGGGTTCGCTCTCTGAGACCACGTCGTCGAGCGATGACGATGATCGCTCAACCGCACTCGGCCTACGAATTAGCCCCTCACCATTTGTTCCTCAGCCAAATGTGTTTTCGCATCCGCCTGCCTCCCAAACCTATCACTCAAGAGTGAGGCCATCTAATAGGAGCCAGCCTAGTCCCAGCGTCGTCTCCAACAGCAGCCAGTCGACTGCTATACGCCATAGTTCCAGCTCGAGCACCCGGACTGCTCGCCGTGAGCGGCAACAACATAGCCCGTACAATATGATCTCGCCGTCTTACCAGGCAGACCATGACGCTGCTCTTTGGGCAAGTCTCTCCACACTGCTTTCATGTGCCGCAGCGGCGCGTGGCCTGCCCAAAAACGATAGTCCTCCAGCTCCTGCAGGCCCTTCGACAGGCCAACCTACCAGTTTCCGACTGGTTCCGGAGTCGGTGGCGATGGGGGAGGAGAGCAGCGACGCTGAGGATCGTTCGACGCGTTCCAACACGGATAGTCCGTCTTCAGCACCCCATCGGCTATCCCGACAGCACAAACCCGCGAGATCCGACGCGTCGCCTACCGTGTCCAAGGCGAAACGGAAAACTGCTTCCTCCAAGGATCGAAGCTCCTCGCATGCTTCAGCATCCAAAAAGTCACGTCGCAGCAATCTGGCCGAGTCGGTGTCGATGGTGGTGAGTCCGACGGTTATGACATGGGTGATCAGCGCGGGCGTTGTTGTTTTGTTCTCTGCAATCAGTTTCTCGGCGGGATATGCTCTGGGGAGAGAAGTTGGACGAACCGAGGCCAATGGCGGGATGGGATCGGTCTTGGGAGGAAGTGGATCGGATCCTTTCTCTAGCGCGAAGGCCTCTGTCGGCTGCGGGAAGGAGGCCGTCAAAGGTGGACTCAAACGCCTGCGCTGGGGTGCGGCGGGCGGCTCTGGGGTGAGCATATACAACTAGGTCGACATGCTAACGTCCTATTCTTGTGTTTGGGTATGGTGTTTGCTCTTATGATGCGATGACGAGGATGACGAGGATGACTATCGGGATGACTATAGGATGATCGGGTATGCAGCAGCGGCACTATTCTGACTATCTTTCTCTCTCTATTTTTATCTTTTACATTCTTACGATCGGTTAAGGAAAACCTCTGAATCATGCAATGGAGTTCGACTATCCACTTTCATATCTGCACTGATCTGGGAAGCTATCGATATGCGGTCATTTCCAGCAAGTCATCGAGCCAGTTCCTTTTTCTTTGAGTTTTGATTGGAGTTGGAGTTGTTATGCGATAGTGTTTGGATTCGGTTCATTTCATTTAATATACCCGTTTCATACTCTCCTTCGGATAGTTAATTGAATATTTTCGTATTGTTGGAAGAGGTGTATTTGTAAGTGTATATGACATCTCAACTGCATGGAAACGCCGCCCGTCTGTCAAATTCAGAGACGCAAGTTGCAGCGGTCGATTCCACCAAGTCATCATATCGCCTGCTGTCTGTCCATCTATGAACCTGTTGAGATAGACGAGCATACCCAACGAGATATATATAGTGAAGTATGTAACACTGTTGACATGTTTCTTGATTTGATTAAAATCTTTCCTTTCTTCTGTTTCTTCTATGGCGGAGTGATTATATATTTATATTTACATTAGCATATATATAATAACAACATATATAGACAGAGAACTACCAACGCAGGTAATATCGAGCAAACCGCTCTGTTGATGATATAGTAAATACACGTATCAAGTCTCTATAGATATACATACAAATGTAAAAATTACCTCCACTGTTCTGGAGTACAGTACATAGATGTTGTGATTCAACAAAACCAATATCACATCGCTAATCCATTAAGTGCACTGACATGACCCAGAAATGAATGAAGCACGACAAATAACTGTATACAAAGAGTTATTACTTTGTTTTTGATTTTTTATCTCTGCCTATCATTCACGGGACCATCTATCTATCTATCTATCAATCTATTCCCAAGAAGGTGTGTTTCGGCGAGCGGGGTTATAACATGGTCTATTATTCTATTCTATCTATCTACATAAATAATGTATTTATAATCAATCCGCCCCTCTCACCCCGCATGACATCTTACGACTGTAAAGCATGTCAGACGCTCGGACTCGGAGAGATGGGATGGAAGATTCATTGAAAACGTCACAAAAGCAGGGACAGTAGTCAGAGAAACAAAAATAGGATTATACTTATTATCATTACGTGATGTGATGTGAACACTGTGTTATGGTGTTTAACTCAGGGTATTCCAAATCATTTGTTTTAAAAGTCTCATCATCATCATCAGCCCAAAAATAGGCTTGTTTTGATTTAATAATATCTTCCGAGGTCATACGGAGTATACAGTTATCCTTCCTAAGCCCTATTACCCGTTTCCGACATCCGACCGTACCCTCACATAAGGTTTAGTACCTTAGCCCCAAGCGGTTAGATAAGGTAAGGTACCACACCCGGCCGAGCATGTTGCAACCCTAACGGGTTAGGAAATCAATAGTTTCAATTTTTGAGTTTCCATTTCAGATCGTTTCCTTGATTGTCGCGATAATGGTCATGGTCATTTGTCAGGATGGATGGATGAATGAAATGAAATGAATGACAACCGGTGAATTATTAATGGCATTGTTCACGAGAAAAATAAGTCGTCGGGAAATCATCTGACACAAATAATTATCATTATTAAATTATGCATTGACATGACTGCAGTCAGATGACTCCGGAATTACCCCTCAGTAGGCATTCATTCCATTTAGGTACTTAGCTTAGGTAAAGGTAGTTGATTGATTGATTGAGTGAGTGAGTGAGTAATGATTGATGACTGATTAGCGGCAATCGCGGAAAGCCCTTGAATTGAATTGAATTGAATTGAATATGCTGAATTGAGTGAGACACAATGTACGGAGAGTACTCCATATTCTGCCTGTATGCAGACACACGGTCTAGACGGCTGCTGGGCCAATTTTGGGACATGTTCATGCACTACAGAATACTACCATGGTACTCCGTACATACTAACTGAGTCGTCAGTCCTTTGATATCAACCAAAGATACGGTACGGTATGATGTCGCTTGAGTCAGCGTAGCCAACGTAGGGCTCAGGGCATGCGAGCCGAGGGCGATGCCCATCCATTGGCCGATCATCTGTGGCTAGTGAAATTTTTTCTTGTTGGTATCTGTGGCTAGTGGGAACTATCATGTGGCTAGTGAAAAATTTTTCGTGGCTAGGTAGTAAGTTCCATAACTGTTAGTGGGAACTGGAACGAACATGTGATTGTGGCTAGCTAAAACTAGCATGTGGCTAGAAGGGGCTGAAGAGGCTGAAAGTTTAAACATGTGGCTAGTGACACACCTAGCCGCATAGTTCAAGCCTCAACCCATTTCTCGGGTTCCAGCCCAGCCACAGGGCAAGCCAAGAGATCGACAAGATGCGTAGGCCATAGATTATCATCTCGGTCGGCCTCGGAGGCTCGGCCTTGTCGCTCGGGCTCGGCAGAGTATTCCCATCTGGGCACGGATCACCGCGTGCTTAAATTTTAAGTAGGTAGAGTCCCAAAATAAATTTTTTTGTTGTACTCTGTACTTACTACTGGACGCCTTAAAGCAAAACAATGCATGCAGATTGCATTTGCAGACAGCCCCCATCTCCAAATACTCCGTAATGACAGCAAAAAAAAATTTTAGCATTGCACAGCCACACTGATATTTACATGCCACAGCAGTGGAGTCTGGACCAGCACATGCTAATCTGGAGTATGCACATGGCACTCTCCACATTCCACTGGCCACATCATGCCAACACAGACTGGAGACCTTTTCCATGGTTCAGGAATGCATGCCCATAATAATGCGGGGACAGGGGGGCAAGCCACATCACACACTAGCCACATGCATCGTGTACTTAATTACCCAATCAGTATACGGAGTAGTGTAGCATATTTCTCAATTTCTGGAACTTTTGTCGCTACCTAGCTAGGTAGACACCTACCTACCTTTCTAAGATAGCTGCGTTAGTTGCTTTTTCTTGTGCAGACTGCAGAGGCATGCAATGCAACAGCCCTGGCTGTCTAGACGTCTTATCTATATTTATCTATCCTGTCGGAGTTCTGCCGATCTGTATATACCCTATACACTGCAGTACTAGCAGGCTTTCGTTGCTAAAGATAGATTGAGTGATGGTAACAGTCAGTCAGTCAGAGTTTCATTGTATGTATGTGTGTGTGTGTGTGTGTGTGTGTTCTCGACAGGAGAGAATAACGTTTGTGCATCCGTAGACACGAGGAACACATGTCATCTGTGGAATAACACCCGTCCATGTGCCATGCAAGATGGCATTGAATGGCATCATGTGATTGGTTAGTTGTGTCGCTACTTATCCGATCGAGTAGGACGTACTCTACACGTAAAGACATTGCATTTACGTTCAAATGCGGCAGAAATAAGTATGGATAGTAAAAAGAAGACAACAGAGAATGCTGTTGTACGTATGTATTTGAAATGTACTGTACAAAGATATCGTGTAAATACATGACTAGTCGCCAAGTCGAGCCCGAAATATATACAATGCTATCGATATAGATACATGATGTAATTCCACACATATGTCCTCCTGCAGCCCCAGATCCTAACGCCTAGCCCAATGCGATCGTCGTTGGAATGAATGCTCAAGAATCAACACATAGGAAAATCCCCAAAGAGCGTAGTCATGTACTGTACAAGTAATGGAAACGAACGAGAGATAGAATGAATGAAGGACGGCGCTTCAGCAGCGCCCGCGTGGAAGGAACTGTCGTAATCTGCTCCGGATCTTTCTCTTCTTCGAGTCCGCTGCGTCGTTGGTTAACGACGCTGTGTTATACGATTGATATTGCACCGGAAAACTCACCTTGGTCCCTTCGAGAACGTTTGCCGCCATATCCCGTGCGAGGCCGGTCGACCTCCATCATTGACCTTTCCGACATACCGCCGGGGCTGGCGGGCTGGGACTCGGACTCGCACTCGGGATCGTAGTAGCAATGGCAGCAGTAGGAATATGCCACATGAGGATACGCCTGTGCCAGCACCAAGTCGATCTCAGACAATGCTGATGGTCGTCGGGACTGGTAGGAGGGTGTTGGTGAGCTCTGCCAGGTGGTCAGCCACGACTGAGCCAGATGATCGTCGGAATGCATACCCAGAGCTCGTAGTTGGTCTTGTAGGACATGGTGTGGACAAGGATCGGATGAGGGGAAAGCAGACTGCAGATCAATAGGTTGTACAATTCGCAGGTAGAAGGTGTGTAGTATATACAAAGCACACCTGATCTGTACAGAACTGTAGAGATTGCGACTGCTGGTTCTATACTACCCGAGAGGCAGCGATGCAGATGTCTCTATATATGTCCCTCGACGCGATGTAGGAGGGTCACTTTGGAGTTACGGAGTCGACGGCTGCCTGAGTCTGACAGCAAACATCCCGTCCTTCGCCAGACTACTGACCGTCCCAAATCTGGATTGCGAGATGGAGGCTCCATCCAGACCTAATTTACAGTCTGATCGGAGGAGTGTCAGTCGATCATGATCCACGGCGGGCGATCTTGGCCACCAATCAGGGCGCGTCCAGCCGCCCATCCAATTAGCGCCGAGGGACTGCTGTGGCTGGAGGCCCCTGGAAGCCCGATGAATTGTCCCCGCCCCAAACCCTAACCCTACAGGGTTGTATCTCTCGAGCCGCGATCCCAGTGACTTCAT